GACTGCGCATTGCAGGCTCTGATAGGCTCAAAATAGGCTCTGATAGGATCAAAGTAGGAGTAAGAAAAAAAGTAGATGCTACTTTGACGCTGCTATACGTCCGAAATTTCCTTTTTTCAAAAATTGAGGTTCAATGTAGACGCTAAATTTCGACTCGGGTCTTTCTCAATTCCTTTATGAATGCGCGCACAAATGTTATTTATAAGAGAAAACTTGTCCGTTTGTTGTATTATTAGATATTTTTCCATACGGAGAAATGTGCGGGTATGTAACGCATTTGAGATTGAACAGTATATATTACATATCTCTAACAAGATGTTTCACAATTTTCAGGAAATACTCGCGCAAATTAACAACTCGTGGTTTGTGCGGCGTTATCGAGCCGCAACTCGCCGAAAAGTTCGCCGGCACGCTTGATTTCACGCATCTCTCTACCGAGCTGTGTGGCGCAACAAACGCGTACGCGACCTGCGAAAAATCTTTTGGACACCATTTGCCGCGCGAACTCGAAGTGAAAGTAAACGAGCGTGTATATACAACGTGCGTATACCTGAAAACTTATATTTGTTGCAACGAAGAAGACGGACGTTTCGCGAGGTGTCAACGACTAAGACGCGGTGTAACGACGAGACGCTGCACCCGCCGAGGCGGCGGCGGCGGCGATAAAATAAAACCGCAATGATTCAGTGTGGCCGACCGTGTGGCGATGACACATTCATTGATTCGAATTAAGAGTATAAGCAGCCAGCTACAACCGTGACATTACCAGGCCACGATTATTCGAGTTAATCGCAGCTTCCCGCGTTTGGTCCAGACATCTCGGATTCATGCCCGAGAGTCACGCGAACGCGCGTTAGCGTCGACGACAAAATGAAATGAAACGTTAAAGCGCGATCGCAGATCCGAATAAACGAATGAAAATCCACACACGGTATTTACGACGCGTAAAGCAATTAAGCAAATATCGAATGTTTAAATGTTTTTTTATCGACATTTTTTATACGAGCGAGCTCTCGTAAATAACACGAGACATAAACTAGAATAATTTATAATTAGTGTTTTTTTTTCTCTTTTTTTATAGAGGTTACCTGTAGAGCTGCATAAAAACCTCTTGAATTCACTTTGTATCTCCGACCGTGCCGTTTTGCGCCGATCGTTCGATTGATTCGCAACGATCATTGGTTAAACGACGATTTGATCGCGAAATATGTAAAACTCGCTATGCATACAATGCCGCGTTTATCTTTAAATAAACCTCAATGACAAACGTGTGATGTGTGTGTGTGTGTGCGAGCGTGTGCAAATTAAACATTGCGCGTGCTCATTCAAGTTTGATCCTCATCGTGCAGTGTTTTGTTTATCAGCGATTGAAATATACATATGGAAACGTTCTTATATTACACATACGTATAAATTATTATAATATATATTATTAATATATATTATATATATATATAATTATTATAATATATATTATAATATATATAAATTATTATAATATATATATATATATAAATTATATTATAATTTTATTAATATGTACACACATATAAAAAAAAAGAATAAGCAAGGAAATTGTTTAAAAGATAAATTTCTTTATAAATTTCGAAATAAAATTATATAAACTAAATATATATATACGTACACCATCGTCTGAGAAAGCCGCCCTGCAATTTGGCGCAGATCCCGCGATGCACCCTCATTTTTGACAAGCTCCGCGATGTTCACCGAGTGTTCACCCCTGTGTGGAATCACAGCGCGCACGTCGTCGGGATTGAATATTATAGCGCGAAGGAAAACACGCGCGCGCGCTTTTTCGCTCTCCTTTTTCTATGAATTCCTATCTCCGAATAATACCTCCTCTTGTCAGGACTCGCGTCGTGTCATGCACAGAATTGCACACCGATTATACTTATCGAACGAGAATCGATTTTTTGTTTTATTTTTTTTCTTTCCGAAACGTCACTCCAACCGATCGACGTTGTTTCCGATCCTCGTCGTGTTTTCTCGCGGCGACCTCGAAGAGTTTATTTCGTGCACACAGTGCCACGACTGCTTCCAACCGGAGAAAGTCAATCCTGCTTTCGTGGTTGCTCTAAGTGTGCCGGTCGGGTCGTCGAAGCGACGTTATTACGTACCGCAGATGCTGGAAGTTCCCCGATTGAAGAGGCGCGCTTTTCTCTTTTTCTCCGGCGAGATGTTTTTACGCGAGATGTTAAAAAACGATATTTCGCACCCTCAGATCATGTCATGTATATATCCCAACGGAATCCTCCGCACTCGATCGATCGCATACACAGATCGTTCACGATTTTGACAGCCGCGATATTCGCCGATCTTCCGCGAGTCCTATTACGATTCGGGCACGCGACGAGTACTGCGCGCGAGTACACGCGGCAACTGCTGCTTCTTCGATCGCTGGTGGCCGCGACAGTGATCGTGGGAACGATCGGCGGTGATGATGTACTTCGGCGAGGAAGAGGCATATACGATCCGAGAGGAGGGAGCGATCTAAGGATGCAGATGCGGAGGAAGAAGAAGAAGAGGATCGCGAAGGAGAAAAAGAGGGATACGGCAAAGAGAGAGAGAGATAGAGATAGAGAGAGAGAAGGAGGAACAGAAGAGAAATCGCGGAGAGGCGAATGAGGTGGAAATCGGTGGGAATAAGAAGAGGATCGATGCGAAATCGAGCGGAACCGGTGTGTATATTTGTGTGTGTGTGTGTTTATAACTCCTTTATACGTATGTATGTACGTGTACATATATATATATGTGTATGTGTGTGTATGTGTGTGTGCACGCGCGCGAATGTGTGAACGATCTAGTGAATGTAATGCGATCGGTGTGAGATCGGCCAAGACACTGCGAGAACGCGGATTCTCTGCGCGACGCTCAGGTGAACGATTTATTCCCGGCCCCCACTTGCCGCTCCACTTTACCCCCTTCGGCGCGCTTATTCAGCGCCTGCTGCTACCACCACCATCTATAACCGTTGTGTGTGTGTGTGTGTGTGTGAGTTTTACTGCCATTGCTCCTCCATTCTTCAGAGTCCCTCTCTTACATGCTGCTACTCCTGCTCCTGTAACGTGTAGAAATGTTTCGATCCGCTCGCACAAACGTTTGGTTACCTTATGTCTCTTGTCTCGTCAAATTTTTATTTGCAACTCCGATTTTTTCTTCCATATTTCCATTAAATTACAATTGCACAACTTTCGAAAACGAGCGGGAAAGGTTTGAACGCGAGCAAGAGAGATTTCTCTCAATAATCTAAAAAATTAATTTAAAAAAGTGAAATTAAATTTCGAAAAATTTGAAGTGCGTGTAAATGTTAATTAAATTAAATTAAAAAAAAAAAAAACTATTTTGCTTAATGTTTCTTTTTCTCTTTATAAATTCAACAAGTTTCGAGATGTTGAACTTTTCAGATTTGCTAAACGCTCCTGAAGACGTGGTGACTTCTCGCCTCCTCTTACACGCAGGTGACGCAGGTGGCCGCGTGCCGGCGCCTGCGCCGCCGATCCGTAGCGCCCCGTCTCGCTTCTTCCTACGTTTTGCCGCGATAAGTCGTTCTCCCTTCCATTCTCTCTTTTCGCGGTCGCGCGTGGCGGGTCCTTTTCCTTCTGCGGCCTCTCCGTTATCCGGCGACCCACCTCTTCGAGAGATACGTATCCTATGTAGCAGTTTCGGAAAATAATAATAGTAATTTGACATTGGATAGGTGGAGCATGGTGACTCTCCTGAAACGCTACGGTATTTTACAGGCATAGGCATAATTCAAAGCATGATGCGCTTCCGCGAGAGTTCAGAGTCACATTCCTCTAGTCATTGCGCAAAGAGTGCGACAAAAATATATGCGCTTCTAATAAAAATATCACACGCATCGTAATATCAACAGATGAGTAAAAACGCGTTTCAAACAGAAGAAATTGATATAAATCTGACGTATTTCTTGTATTTCTCTTATAGAAATATATTTCAACTTTTTTTTTCTCGAATCTAATCTCTAATCTGATAAAATCGACCTACGAGTCAATTTTATTTAAATTCGATGAACAATTTGCTCAATTAGATATTTTTAAATTCGAGAAATTTGTTAAATAAATATATTTTTATTTTTTAATAAAATAATATAATAAATATAATAAATATATATATTTGTTTTTATACAAATTATATTATGAGAAATTTTAATGAAAATTTTGCACACTTTTTAGGAGAAGAGAAATATTGTTTAGGAAAAGAAAAATATATTTGCCACGCACGTACGAAATGTTTTTTTTTTTCATAATACAGGTTTTACCGCTATCAACCGGTTTTGCTCACGCATTTCAAATCACTGCAAGATGTAAAATTAATTTAAAATCGTCAACTACCACGATGAATTTTAGAGTTTACAAAACACATAGATTAATGATACATAGATAATCTCTTCTCCGTCTCTCTATTTCTCTCAACGCTTCGATGAAAAAGAGGTTTCTTAAAAATAACCCGGTTTCAATTTCCGCTAGTATGCTTGTGATTAAGAATCGCTACTCGAGAGCATCGAAATGGGAAACGATCGAGGACGCAAATGTAGGTTAAAGCAGAAAACTACACAAGTTTTTTTTGCCTAGCTTCCTTCTTCCGACGTTACTCTCTAAGGATTAACGCGCGTGTGTTCATTTATTCGATTCAAATCGTCTCGCGGCGATAAATGTTCTTCTCGCGCAAATAAAACAAAATTATTAAAAGAAAAAGAACCAAAAAGCCTATAATATGATCCAATTTGGCAGTGGACAATTAAACAACTTAAACGCAGTGTATTCTCAACGTTTCGATCAAAATTTTCTTATTAAAACCAAAAATTGGTGTTATAAATCTCCGCGAAGAGGATGTTTTATATATATTTCGCAGAGATCCTCTACTTGCGTAGTACATTACGCATTTGCGTCACGCAGATTCCCACGGAATTTTTTACTGCCAATTGTCATTAAAATCATCGTGCAAACATGTGGAAAGTATAGTCGGTTTTTGAATATTTTATTTCGAATAGCGCGATCTTTCAAATAGCGTACATAAAAAAAAGTACTTAAATTATCGAATGTAAATTATCGAACATATGATGACTAAGCGACTTTATCAACTTGATAATAAATGTTATTTCAAAGTTTGCATGAAAAATACAACGCTATAACGATGAGTATTCTTATCATTTGTCAGGCTTAATTGCGGAGTGATGTGACGCCCTTGTTTGTAGCACGACACAATCGAAATTAACGTATCAGCCTTGACCTTTTAATTGGGGAATCGCGATAATTTCTGTTATGCAAAAAAAAAAAAACCAAGCTCTCTCCGTCGCGACTTCGCAATAAATTCAACGCGACATATCTCTCGCACGTCCAATGTTAGAATTCGCGTCTTCATAAAACTCGAGAGATGATGATTTCAACTAATATATACTTTTCTCCAAACTCGTTATTTGCTGCGTGCGTCAATTGATTGCACAACACGTCGCACACATATATGAATATATACATATATATATATATATATATATATATATTGTTACGCCCGCGGGGCGCGGAGCCGTTCTCGAGGNACGCCGATACTCGCGTGCGCGGACGCGGCAATGACAAAGGCGCACTTTCTTATGAACACACTTTATTTCGTTACAAATACAGCGTTAATTGCCCGTTGTACAAATCGCCGAAACACGTCGTGACAAATCCGCGGTCGCGATTCTTCTATCTTCTTCTCTTCTTTTTAACAAACCGTCGTCGCCCGGTAACCGACAGTCGCGCCGATCGCGCGCCGTTCACGCGGCTCCCGCGACACATACGCGGTGACCCCCGCGTAACAATATATATATGTGTGTATATATTTATTTTATTAAAAACTACGGCAAGAAAAAAACATCTTGCGTAACTTGTGTTGTTGTTTTACGTGACAAGAGAGAAGTTTTAAGAGTTGCAATTTGCGATGAGAAGTAATTTTTGTATATACATTTTTGATCAAATTATTTTGACTTAAAAAAACTCATCGAATAAATTTATCTTTGACAGCACAAAAACAAATTTACATCTCAAAATAATTGGAAGCGCCTATATGCGACGACTTAACTAACATGTTGTTTTCAAGAACATCTATATTTAAAGTCAATATTATTTTTTAATTTATGTACATATCTGCAGAGTCGTTATTTGATATTTTTTCTTTTTATTACCGTAGAAATTGACAATGAGCATTAATAAGGATCAAATTGTCTCATTAACAAAACACGTTCAATAATTAGTTTTTAATTCACAACAGTGACCTAACGCGCTCTGTGTAGTCTTCCTCGCTTTTTTGATCATTTTTGTCATATATATATATAGAGTGATATATGTTAATGATTTATCAATGTCGCGAAAGATTATGACGCGAGTTATTTAATAATAATCGGCATCTACGAAATACAACGTCCTTACTCTCGGCAAATAAGAAGACGTATCCGCAATGTCGGACACCGGGTCTGAAAGGGTTAATACCCCGTTGAATACTGTAATCCGCGTTTCGTGTTGTAATTTGCGAAGCGAAATACGCAATCGAGTTGACAGCGATCCTTCCGTTAAAATAAAACATCGGCCTCACCCCTCGGGATCGCGAAATCGGCGGTTAGTTACGGCATTATACGGAGCTCAAAAGGACGTTACGCACCGAATGCTGAGGCGGCATAGTTAATTGCCGCTTAATTACACGTTACCTTCGATCGGCTGTAATTTTGCGAGTCGTGTCATTAGATAGATAGATAAACGCGCTCGTAAATCACACAAACAATATTATAACGCGATACACACTCTTGGATCGACTCTTTTTTTGTCCACGTCTCGTAACTCAAGGAGTGCGAGAACGTCAGAGACTGATCAAGTATAAAACGTAATTTCTTATTCCTTCGCCACATAATAAAACGTAAAAATATCACAGACAGCTGCGATATAGCTGTCCATGTCCGCTAATATATAATATGTAGCGAAACTCTGATTTTTTTCCAGATTATGAAGGAGAAAAAAAGTGGTGTGTATATATTATAAAAAATAAATTTGTAATAAATAAATATAACACAGTTTCAATACGTACAGATCGAGAAATGGGACTTCATAACCATACGCTGAACTTACGTGCAAAAAATATATATTTGTTTACAATATATATTATAAGTTATATATTATAAGGCTTATAAAATAGATTCATATATGTGATGCAAAGTAGCATCCTGTATAAATGGTTAAATTTTTCGAAATATATTTACGGTCATACGAGCCGATCGCAGAATGTTGTGCGGAAAATTGCGTATATATATATAAAATATATATATAATGCGTATATATTATAAAATATATACAGGGTGTCCCAGAATTGCCGTACAATCTCTCGTAGGCAGGTAGAAAGAGTAAAACTGAGTCGAAAAGTCCTGAACCATTTTGTTCTATTATTTATAATAAAGGAGTAATTATTGAGTAAATCAGGCCAATCAGCGCAGACCTTTAGCCAGATGCACGTCAGTGAGCCGCGCGCCTCGTGTGTGTGAGCGCTCACTGACGTGCGTATGNCGATCTCTTACTTCCGTTTCGGGCGGGACGACGCGGGAATTTCGCAACAACCACGAAAAACGTCACAATATATATAAAATTTACACGCGAACGCGATATATATATATAAATTTTTTCGCGCGAGTTTTTTTAATAAGATTAATAAGATTTAATAAGATTTAATTGTTAAAATTTTTATTTAAATTTTTAATTTTTATTTAATTTTTTTGTATTAATTTACACATAGAAAATTCGAATTAAATAACAATTTTATTAAAATGATTTTATAGCATATAGGATGCTACTTTACGTCACATATTGTACGAATTATTCATTTACGAGCCTCCCGATGAAATTTAAAATATCTCTCAATGCAAAAAAGTCCTTGACCAAAAGTCGAACCCGGACCTTTGCATTGCATTCCGTGTAACAGCCGAATTGGAAAGACTACCGCACGCGGAAGATTGATTTAAATTTATAAAGTTTTACATTTCTAATTGTTTTTTTTTCAATAGCTAATTGTTGCTCGTTTTCAACTGATTTTTGATTACTTATTTTTTTTTTAAAGAAAAAGTGACAATACAATACAACAAATTTTCAATGCAAATTCTTTTTTTTGTCTGAGAAGCAGTTTGAACGCGCAACTTTATTATCGAAAAAAAAAAAAACATAAATCGTGTTCCGCGATGATGACGACGACACGTTCGTTTCCGCGTGTGATTCTTCAATTCTCAAGGAGTAGCATTTAAAAATAATACCGCTACTTTGTGCCTATTTACTAAAGAAGCTCGGTGGTGCGTGTTACGTGCCAACGGAAACGAGCGGAGCGTGAGTGCGTGTAATTGCTCCTTGTTCTCGAATTAGATGAATGACCGCGTTTGATCACCGAGCGAAAGCGATTCGCCCACTCGCAACGTGTGCGTGTTGTTGATTTTTTTTAAGAATTGAGAACACTTTCTTTCATAAATTTTAAACAAGAAAAACAAACTGAGGAAGAAGATTTAACAAGTTAGGATTGAATGATCGATAAATAATATGAGCAGATCACATATATCACACTTACACACACGTACACGCGCGTGTGTACGTGTGTGTAACATTGCAGAAGCTGCAATTTCGATGAGGGTTAACGACATCCATTTGCACATACAATCACGTCTTCGCGTTACGACTTACGTACGTCGCTATCGGTCGGCTTTCATCGGTGACGTAAGTTGCGACGCGCTTGTACTTGTGAACTGAGAATAAAAAAAAAAAACCTCATGCATTTTACGCGTTAAATCTTCAATTCGGTTCTTAATAAATATCGAATCTTTGATCGCAAAATATTTTTGTGAAATTTGTGATGTTTTTCAAAAATTGTCAATTTAAAACCAAATATACAATGATAAAGCGTGCGAATACTCATTGTCCATTTTTCGTTAATTTTAATTAATTTTAATGAGTTTTAATTACTCGTCGCAAATATTTAAGGTTTTAAATTTAGCATGTATCATTCAGATCTATTTTTGTGCATTCTTCATCGTCGTTTGTTATAACTTCAAGTTTTATTTGCATGAATAAACAAAGAAACAAACAAATAAATAAACAAATAAAACAAACAAACAATAAAAACAAATAAATAAAACAAACAAACAAATAAATAAAACAAATAAATAAATAAAACAAACAAACAAATAAATAAATAAAACAAATAAATAAATAAATAGACAGATAACGGTCATCTCGTATTGTTTTAAGTGCTTGAAAGTGAAAAAAAAAAAAAGAGTACGTTTAGGCCAACATACGTGTTGAGTGAAAATCGCGTTAATAATAAATAATTAACGCACATTCGTGCTTTTGCAACGAGAATGTATCTCGATGAACCTAGTTCTCAGGCAATACTCTGGAAAGTAATGCGTGGGTATAAAGAGAGAAAAGATTTCAAGAAAATGGGCACGTTGAAGCAACAATGTTGTCCGCATTGTGAAGATGAATATGAAATCGCGCGGTGAATAACAGCACGAAGCAATGTATCAATTTAAACGTTTCATTATAAAATCAATGTACAAAATAAAAATCTTATAGATTTTAATTAACTATCTTTTGTCTCGTTACGCGAATGAGACTTTTGTGAAAAATAATCTCAGACTACCGTCCGCACGGAATTATATAAGGAATGCAACACATTGTATCATCGTATAAAATTAAATTATTAATCGACTATAAGATATGCATATGTATATTACATTGTATGTCATTAAGAAAAAAGATTTTCTACACCGTGTAATTTTCCGAACGGCAATCACTTCGCTCACGACGACGAAGAAAAACTAGATAGCATGTGACAAAAAACAAAGATTATCTCAGTCAATGATACTTAATTGATCTCAATGTCTGTAATGATATCGAGTATAATATCGTATAATATCGTACTTTGAATAAATATTTGATAATTCGAAGGCGATATTATCGAAAATGTTATACTGTATACGCTAATTACATCGTGCATTAACTCCGTATAAATTGCTTGCAATAAAACTTCCGCAAAATATAAAAAAAAAAAAAAGACGAACTACTTGTTTGCTTCGAATCCGAGATTACCTACTACCTCGCTCGACTTATCATTAAAAAAAAATGCTTAGCTTGATATTACAAATTATACAGATTTATTTCGCAAAGATTCTTTCTCGTAAATGTTTTTTCTTTTTTTCTGGTTTGTTTTTAATGAGGTTCGTAGAAAGGTTTTTTGTAAGTTATTCGCAAAATTAAGATTATTGTGCCTTGTCGGTACCCGCTACTGTACACGCAAAGTTGGCTTTTCACTAGCGAAAGGAATAGAAAGCTATGCTTTGACTTCTGGTCGTGCTTGACAGGAGGATACGAGAATTAGATAAACTATAATTATCGTTGATTGTGTATTGCGGGAGCCCCGCGATGTCTTTCACAGACGCAATCGTCAAATCGCGCGTGAAAAAAAAAAAAAAAAAGAAAAAAAAACTGCGATCTCAAATATCGAATTGTAATTGATGTTGCGACATTAAGATGTTTACACACTTACGTGTGTAAACAAGTTTGTTTTATTTTTATTTACTGTCGAAATGTAAATTGCAATTCTGATGGTGTCCCATCCATGTGTTCGTGAACTTCCGCTGAAACTTGTGAAAACATTCGCGTGTAGAGTATACGAAGTGAATCCATAAAATATATGAAAACGGACGCTTCATCGGAAGAGTCGACCGATATTTTGTTGCTACTAGTTTTCCTTCAAGTGTTTAGATCTTGTTTGTACATGGGAATTATCGCGCTTTTGTAACGCCGCGCATCGTTTATTTTGTCAAGGCTAATGATAAAAATATATATATTACGATTTNTTTTTTTTTTTTTTTTTTTTTTTTTTTTTTTTTTTTTTTTTTTTTTTTTTTTTTTTTTTTTTAACAGTTAAAACAAAGTCGATAAAAAAGACGCTACGAAAACTGTGTACTTGTTAAAATATAAATAGCTATGTCTCATTGGCGCGCAATTCCCTAAATTCGCAGATCGTATTCAATTCGACGAACTGAAAACATAAAAAAGAAGTACGAAATTTATCAATTATGCATACGATATGTGATTATGTTAATTAAGAAAACATTCATGTAGCACTAAATCATGTTTCGTAAGGAAATAAATATCAAAGTCAGCCTGGAACGTAAACACATTATAAATGTCAGAATAAATACTGAAAAAAAACATGTAACTTTGAATAACACAAATATAAGCGTTACGCACTGAAAACAAAAATAAAAATAGCGATCTATTTTATTTTATTTATGCGCTGCATCAATGTACGCGAAGAAGTATCCCATTTCCACCAACTATTAAAGATACAGATAAAGATTAAAAAAAAAAGAAAAAAAAAAGAAAAAATAAGAGTATATTACCTTTCTGTTTACGTCTATATACGTTTTTCTTATTGCGGAATAATTTAGATCGTCAAGTGTAACCACTTTTTTTATTGCGTTCCAACAGTTTGTACGATCTTGCTGTACAATCCGATTATTCAAACATGATCTTGTTAAAAAAATGCGTTAATAAAAAAAGTTAAAGGATATTCCTGTTCAAATGCAAACAGATAAATAAACAAAAAAATAATCCTTAGTATAAAATTACAGGCGTTAGAGGTAATCGAAATGAGTACACATATTTTCGTCACTTTTATTGCGACGAAATATTTACAATAATCGTTTTATGCTAGTTGCATATTTGTCTTCCCCCGCTCATCAAATTTGCGGCACGCAAATATCAACAAGTTTTGGAAAGTTTCTAAATAATTTACATATTGATATTTTTTTTTTTATAAGATATATATCAATAAATTCTCACTATACATATTATCAATCGTAAGAAACTTATCTATCGATCTCGCCGAAGACGACGTCCAGCGTGCCGATAATGGCGACAATGTCGGCGAGAAAGTGCTTCGGTCCGATGTGCTGGAGACTCGCCAGATGAGCGAAACCCGGCGCCTTGATCTTGCACCGATAGGGCTTGCTACTGCCGTCGCTTACGAGATAAACACCGAACTCGCCCTTCGGCGCCTCTATCGCGGTGTACGTCGCTCCGGGTGGCACCTGAAATCCTTGGGTAAACAGTTTGAAGTGATGAATAAGCGCTTCCATGCTGGTCTTCATCTCTTCTCGTCGCGGCGGCACTATTTTGGCATCGTCGCATCGCACCTCACCCTCGGGCATCTGATTCAGACACTGATGAATAATACGCAGCGATTGGCGCATCTCCTCGACGCGAATCAGATATCTATAAAAGCGAGAATTGTGCACACATGTGTTACGAACAAATAAAAAAAAACAACACATCTTTTTCTCTCTTTGAAAAACCACTCGGATTTACCTGTCGTAACAATCGCCGTTCGTGCCAACGGGAACGTCGAAATCAACTAGATTGTAAGCGTCATAAGGCGCGACCTTTCTCAGATCCCACTTTATTCCGGAACCGCGTAACATCACGCCGCTGAATCCCATGTTCAACGCATCCTCCGCTGACACCACGCCGATGTTAATGGTACGTTGTCGCCAGATCCTGTTCTCCGTAAGAAGATCCTCTATTTCGTCCAATCGCTCGGAATACTTGGAGGCCCAGTCATATATATCATCCATCAGACCCAATGGCAAATCCAACGAGACCCCACCGGGTCGCACATAAGCCGCGTGCATGCGAGCGCCGCTCACGCGTTCGTAGAACTCCATGAGTTTTTCGCGCTCCTCGAACAGCCAGAAGAAAGGTGTGAGAGCGCCAATATCTAGAGCGTGTGTTCCAATGCCCATGATGTGATTTAAGATTCTTGTGATTTCGGCGAACAGAACTGCAAACATTATGTGTGTTAAATGTGGAAAAAGCGTGGAAAAACAAAATTATACAATTAAATCCTATTGAAGCTCGATAAGTTACTAAACTAAGAAATATAATTACGGTCATCCGAGCCAATCGCAGGATGTTGTGCGGAAAACTGCGTATATATATATACAGGGTGTCCCAGAATTGCCGTACAATCTCTCATAGGCAGATAGAAGGAATAAAACTGAGTCGAAAAGTCCTGAACCATTTTTTTCTATTATTTATAATAAAGNAGTAATTATTGAGTAAATCAGGCCAATCAGCGCAGACCTTTAGCCAGGCGCACGTCAGTGAGTGCTCACACACACTAGGCGCGCGGCTCACTGACGTGCGCCTGGCTAAAGGTCTGCGCTGATTGGCCTGATTTACTCAATAATTACTCCTTTATTACAACTAATAGAAAAAAATGATTCAGGACTTTTCGACTCAGTTTTACTCCTTCTACCTGCTTACGAGAGATTGTAATGAGATTGAGTGCTCACACACACTAGGCGCGCGGCTCACTGACGTGCGCCTGGCTAAAGGTCTGCGCTGATTGGCCTGATTTACTCAATAATTACTCCTTTATTACAACTAATAGAAAAAAATGATTCAGGACTTTTCGACTCAGTTTTACTCCTTCTACCTGCTTACGAGAGATTGTACGGCAATTCTGGGACACCCTGTATATATATATACATATATATATTTGTTTGCACAACATCTTGCGATTGGCTCGGATGACCGTAATTATATTTCTAAGATTATACAAGTATATATCAGCAGTACGAGTAAAATATAGATTTCTTTGTATAAAATTTCTTGTGTTATTGTTACTCTTATATTACAGCGAGTTACTTTTATATTACTTTTATCTACCAGAAAGTTCTGTCCGTTTTTGGAATAAAACAAAATACAAATTTTTCTTACCGTCAATAAACTTTATTAAATAATACAATTGCCATTATTATTAAATGATTTCTTGCCAGCGTGAGGGCAATTTGTATATCCCATTTTTGAAAAATTAAGAAAAATTTGTATTTTGTTTTATTCCAAAGACAGACAGAACTTTCCGATAGACCTAATATTACAATAAGATTTTACAGATACTGAAAGAAGTATATTACCTCGAATATACTTAGCTCTCAGAGGTATATCTATATTGAGCAGCTTTTCTATTGCCAGAGAAAAGCACTGCTCGTTACACATCATCGACACGTAGTCCAGACGATCGAAATAAGGCAACGCCTGCATGTAGGTTTTGTATTCGATCAACTTTTCCGTTCCGCGATGCAAAAGACCAATGTGAGGATCCGCGGAAAGTACAATTTCTCCATCCAACTCAAGAATTAATCGAAGCACACCGTGAGCAGCCGGATGCTGAGGACCGAAATTTAACTTCACATTCTGTATGGTTTGCTCCGGAAGAGATTCCATGGTTAGATTGGACTCTATCGGCGGCATCTTCCATTCGCCCTCGTCTATCGTCATGAATCTTTTGTTTATCTCTTTGAGATAGTCCAGATCGGGATTCCACTGGTGAGCATTGCGATGCTGTCTGCAAAACGGACATGTCAAATTAACGAAAGAATTGACTTTTCGAGGTTAAGGTTAGATTATGGTGTTATATAACGCACAAATGCGATCACAATGAAGCGGCGTTGTTTAATTGAAACGATTTGTCACTCACATGTCGACAATCGCCGATGCGTTGTTCGCGGCCAACAGTCTGCCCGAGCCGAAAAATCCAACATTTTTGCGCAGAACAAAACCCAACGCTCTGGCCGCCATGATGTTCACATTCCGACGATACAAAGCTCCGTCGGTACGATCGACGCTCCCACTAACGTTACAGAAATCTGTGATATCCGCCGCACTGTGAGAGAAATCTACAATACCGATTGAATTGATCAATGGTTGCGAGAAGGAGATTAGATAGGTGGCATTTTTTCGGCACACCTGCTATACGCGTTCCTTTCTTTCAAAAACTTTAAAAACAATTTCATAAAAACAATGGCTCGATCGAGAGATAATCCCTGTGAGGTATGCGAACGCTTGTTCAACGTGTACTTTTGTTTGTTTATAATGTTAACGGTGTTATTATCGACCAAATCGGTTCTTATCATTTATTTTCAGAAAGGGGGCGTCGTTTGTGATAAGCAGCAATTTCGGTAAATAGTTCGGTGAAGAAATGTGTGAATTTTAAAACTCGAGCGTGGATAAAAAATTTTTGTTAGAATTTATCAGTACGTTCCCCGGAGACCCTAACCGGCGGGACCGCAACCACAAGCCAGCTTATTCCAAGTCCGTCATTGGTCGGGAAAGAGAGAGAAAGATAGATAGATAGACACACACACACACACACACACACACAGAGACTTCACTGGAAATACACTTGCACATGAAAACGATTTATCATGGCCGTAAAACCCTCCGCGGGGAGATGCCATTATGGCTGAGCACGAAGAATTCTAATCCGATTTTCTTGATTCGTTTCGTATTACAATCGAAAGTTTCCATTTTACACAGGCGGTTCGAGAGAAACTCCCCCCTCCCCCCCCCCTCACTGAGAGAAGCGAACCAAACAACGCGAACGTGTATTTTAAATTGCGACACGAGTAATAAAAAAAATTACGCAAAGTTTTTGTCGCACTTGAGAAATTTACACGGCGCGCGTGTAGGTAAATTTGAAAACAAAAAAAGCGAGCGTATAAATACGATAAAATTTTTGTACAAGTAGACACGTGACATGTCTGTGCTTCGGTAACACCGAAAAAAAAATTCACAAAAGATAACACATATCGACGCAATTTTTTTCACGGGGAAAAATCCTTGTTGCGTCTCTTCGGGTGGTTACGTACACGTGTGCAACTTCGCCGTCGCCGCAAGGTCAATGGCAAAGTCGCGAAAGTCAATGTCAAAGATGTGCGTGTACATAAAACGCGTCGCGGAGAAAGAATCGTTTGTACTTTCGTTTAACATCCTCGTTTTTACCTCTCGTACGCATCTTACGTCATCGTATATTCGTCATTTGGGGCCGAGGAAAGAAAAGTGCTCTTGTGTGTGTGTGTGTGTGTGTGTGTGCGAACGTCGTAGGAAGTTTGCTAGTAATATACTCGCGTTGCACTTTTTTGAGATAAAATATTCGCACGCGAATGAAACGTGTGCGCGCGAGATGTGTTTTTCTCGCGTTATCGCGGCGCGAATACTCGAAAATTTATTTGTCGATTTTTATTTTCTCTCGAAATAGAAAAGAGAGAGAGAGAGCGTACGGTATTTCTTCGAAGTATATTACGCGTACGTGTAAGTACGCAGCCGGGCCTGGAATTTTCCACGAGAAACAATCAGCGCGCCGAACTGTCGGTCGCGAGAAGAAATTTGTCATTGAAATTAAGGTCGGGACACCGCGCGTTTTATTTATAAAACCAGTGTCAACGGTATTACCATGAATTATCTAACAACGCGAAGCGCTTTTTAAGGTCTTTTCTATTAGTGTATCATTATTCGTGATCGCGCATCGCGAGAGAGGATAACATATATAACTTGAAAACACAAGCGAGAGAGAGAGAGAGAGAGAGATCATCGCGCACCGAAATAACCGAAGTAACACCCGTTTCCAAATCGCTACACATTGTACAGATAGAATTACTTGCTTTAACTCTAAACTGGTCTTTTTTTTTTTTTTTTCTGTTTCTTGTACGCAAATAGGTGCAAAATAGGGTGCTTGTACTTCGCGCGATTCGAAATTTTTTTTAAACGCGCATCTTTCTAAATACGGTTTTCCTTCAATGTGCGCGCGTTTCTCTGTGCGCGCGATCCTATAGCGAAATATGATATTTAGACACCTTGTAGAAATTCAGACCCGGCTAAAAAGGGACATCCGGATGCGGCAGACCGCGTGCAATATAACCGTCTCCTCTTTCGGCCGCTTTTGAGTCTCACGGGAGTGACATTGGCTGGTTCCCCTATTGATTTATACGCCCGTCGGCTGCATACGCTGCCCCCCCCCCTCGGCCCCCCCGGGCTTGGTGAACGATGGCCACCACCTCGCCTTGCACTTGAAGATGCAATCGAACGAATGGTTCTTTCGCCTTAAGGAGAGACGACGACGACGACGACGACGACGACGATCGATGGTGTCGTGAGGCACCGCGCACGTGCTGCGCATCGACATCATCCGACCGGTCCAGCTAACGCGCGAGCCGCAACGACGGGGTTTCTCCCCGATCGTCGCTAAGACGAAAGCGATCGCGGAATTCACGGAATCTTCGAATAATTATCCACACGCGATGAGTAACACAAGCCAAGATGTAATTTAACCAATATAAGAGCACGAAAATTTTAAAAAGCGATGACAGTATAATAATTCGCTATCCAAACACGCGATATGTTTTTATAATCGATAAATTTCAAGTATTTCATATATTCTCCATCGTCTAAAATAATTTTCAAGGAGAATTACCGAATCTATCAATTGTAAACTAATTTTCACGGAACAGGTAGCCGAATTAAAATTATATTTTATGTAAAATATGTGCGTAGGTGTTGAAATATGTTTTAAAATCAAATTTTCAGCTTTTTGCGTCCTTTTTTGTTTTTATTTGTTTCTGTCCTTTATAAATTTTTCAAGTTTGTTTCTTCGTCGACAGACATTTTATCAGCGTTTCAAATATTTTTCGGCGGTTGTCTCTGATATTATTTGACCGCGTCGTTCGTTTATAAATAAAAATTGTCGCGATATTCGTTTATTTATTGCGGGAACGGATTTCAGACGCCAGAATAATGATCATTAGCGAAAAGAATGAAATGGAAAATTCCACACGGCCGGTGTTGTACAATTCGAGCTCTCTGAAGGAAAGACGAACGTCAAAAAAAGGATATGAATCCACACGAGGAAATCGTACAAAAGTCGCTGACGTTTCGCAAGTGCAGCCTTTAAAATATGCAATTTCATCCCGCCTGCGGGTCGAGGCCGCAAAACGCTAAAGATCCACGAGCTTGATTTCGTCACGTCGCCTTCGCGCTAACCGCAAGCGAGATCTCCCTTTTCTCCCCTATCCCTCCTCTTCTCCTCCCCTCCTCCCCCCCTCCCCCGCTCCCCCCGGAAACCCTTTGCCGACTTCCTCTTCTCGTGCAATATAATCCGATGATACCGAGTGAATCGCACGGATCAAAATATCTAAATGCATCTCTCACACACAAGATCGCTAAGTACTGAATTAGATGTGTGACACATTTGTGTTTTTCGAGAAATCGCACAAATTTGCATCACGGAATTTGATTTGTCGAGATAAAAAAAAAACTAAATTTTTCGAACACACACACACACACACGGTGGCGTTCGAAGACAAACTGGTTAGATCCGATTTAAAAACAAAAACCGATAACCGTGAGGAAAAAAATACGAGACCCGGAATGTTTTTAAAAGAAAACATGTATAAAAATAATAAATTATTATTCACACAGCACGAGTGTTTTTTTTTTTCGAGAAAGTCAACTGTGAAAATGAACTGTTGAACACATATCCAGAACAATATCTCGAAAGTAATTTTATTCCACACAAAAGTCACGCTATTGTTACGCGAAAAAGACTTACCTTTTTTACGCTCAAGAGACTTTACGCGCTCCCTTTTATTCCGTAACGACAAATTTCGTTATCGTTTCCTCCTCGCGCGGTTAGATACTCCACTCGTAAAGCACGCGTTATACTGTGGTAACACATGCGTAATAGTTTTTTTTTTTTTTTTTTTTTCGAAAAAAGAAACAGAACAAGAAGCAAAAGGGAAAGGGGAGAAAAAGAAGAAAAGAATAAAGAAACGCGTAAACAGACGAGTATCGTTAAATATCGCGTTATATTCGAAACTAGTTCCCTTTCTGCGTGCCGTCTTTTTTCTCTCTCTCTCTCTCTCTCTCTTTCTCCTGTCCATATTTTATTGTCGCTCACAAAATCCGTTACTGCAACTCGTGGCGTTGTCGCGCATATATACACGTTATATCCTTTCGTAAGTACGCTCTTTTCTTCTCTTCACTTTTCTTCTGCGCTCTTCTGGGTCTCTCGTCGCGTTGTGGTCGGCAACACAGGTCCTTCCTTCGGCCCTTCGTCGCGCGGCGGAACCTTTCAGTCTCGACAATGAAAGCGAGAGCCGGTTGCGGAGACCGTAGCCGATCCGCACACACGGCCCCCGGCTTTGGTAATTGAATACGACAGTTTTTAATTAACGCGTCCATCGAGACTCCCAGAATGCCGCGGCTTTACTTTACATAGGCCCTTCCCCTTGATGCACATGATCTATCGGTATAACGCGCCACAAATTGCTATTTAATCCTTCTGCAAAGAGTGCGCCATTAACGATAACGTGTAATTGCGTTATCTTCACTTAATTATGTATTTTCTTGTCGCATATTTTTATATTAGCTACTAAAGCAAAAAAAAAAAAATATCTGCTATCTCTTTTCTCGTTAACAAAAATTGCTTACCGTGTTCGTATTATTATTGACACAAATAGAGCTGTGTTTAAAGCGAGTCTATAAACAATTTTCATACAAAATACGAAAATATATCTCGATTTATGTAAAAAAAAAAAAACGACAAAAAATATACAAAATTTAGTCAAACAATTTAATTACATCTTTTACACATTTCGGGTACAAAATTCAGTTCGCGTTTCTTCAGTCGATATATGTTAACAAAGTTCTCCATTATTTTTAATTGAAATGGCAGAAAAGAAGGGCAGAAATTGATGTCAGCGGCAGAAAGAAAAACGTTACTCGAGTAATTTTAACATGAAATATAAATATATTTGGGTGGTATTGTACAGTCAGTGATTC